TGTGAGTGGTCTCCTGCCAATCAGGAAGTGACTTAAAATGCTCCAATAACTTTTAAATTTCTCCTGACTTAAAACGTCTTGTAGAGTTGGAAGTGTCTTTATTTCACTTAGGCAATGATGAAAAAACATACAGTATGTGTGTATACGTGTGCTTTAAATTTCCAGTTACACAGGGAAATTTTAAATGCTTAAAAAATATTGAAGCCCTTTAGAAAAATGTATTTCACATATGAAAAGCAAAACTAATGCCGTTAGATGTGATTCAACCTCCCACTGCTTCAGCTACAAATTCTCAACTGTCAACTATCCTTAAAAAAAAAATTAACATATTTTTTCTTTATCAAGTTTCATAGTCAATTCCATAGCACACAGATTTAGCAGAAGCCTGGATTTAGCCATGCTTCTGACACTGTAACTATGGAAAGAATGAAATAGTTAAGTTTAATTTGTTGAAATAAGCATGTTATTGACTTTTAAAAGTTTTATAATTAAAATTTGGAAAGTAAAGGTATTGAAAAAAATAAACCTATTGTGATCATTCTGTAATGTACAGAAATATTTAATCACTATGTTGTGCACCTGTAACAGTGTTGTAGGCCAATTATACTTCAAAACACACACACACACACACACACAAACTCACAGAAAAAGAGATCAGATTTGTGGTTATCAGAGGCAGGGGTGAGGGTGATGGAAGGGGGAATGGGAGGAAAGCGGCCAAAAGGTACAAACTTCCAGCTGTAAGATGAAGAAGTACTGAGGATGCAATGCACTGAGATGATTAATGTAATCAACACTGCTGCATGTTATATATGATAGTTTTTAAGTGGTAAATCCTAACAGTTTTCATCACAATGAAAAAGTATTTTCTTTCTTTTTTAAAATTTTGTATCTATGTGAGATGATACTTGTAATCATTTCATGATGTATTTGACTCAAATCATTATGCTGTACACCTTAAACTTACACAGTGCTACATGTAAACTATATCTCAATAAAACTGAAAGAAAAAAATTTTAATAAAATAAACAATCAACCTATTGTGTAGTGTAAAATCCTGGGCTCTGAAGTTACTCAGATGTGGCAAAGTAATCTAACCCTTAGTTTCCTCTTATTTAAAGGAGGGGAAACAATGCTTTCCTTATAGTGTTAATGGAAACACTAAACGAGGTGACGAACTAAGCGTGACACCCAGCACATCACGTGCACTGTACGTGGCATATAGCTATGGCTACGTATCAGACATACATACTTTAAAAACTGGAATCAAACTTACATTCTGCTGTTTTTTAATGCATACTTTATTGTATATGTCATCATGCTTTACTATTTTGGAAAGTATATAATTCTAATTAAGAAGTGGAAGTTGTCACAAATCCCGTTTTTTTTTTTTTTAATTTCTTTTTGTTCTTTTATTTGGAAAATAACTTCCTAATTTTGGAAGTAGCATCTGGCTGCTCTCATATATTGTTTTTGAGAACCAATTTTATTGAGATATAATTCACTACCATACAATCTACCCATTTAAAATGTGTAATCAATGGCTTTTAGTACATTCACAGATATGTGCAACCGTCACCACAGTCAATTTTTTTAAGTACTTTGTTTACCTTTTATTGTATTATTTATTTTATTTGGGGGGGGATTAGGTTTGTTTATTTTTAGAGGAGGTACCAGGAACTGAACTCAGGACCTCATGCAGGCTAAGCACGCACTCTACCACCTGAGCTATACCTTCCCCCCACCACAGTCAATTTTAGAAAGTTTCATCACCTTAAAAAGAGACCCTGTACTCTTCAGACATCAATCCCAACACCCTGCCCTAGGCAACCGCTCATCTACTTTCTATCTCTACAGACTGCTCTGTTCTGGACTCTTCATGTGAATGGAATAGTATGTTGTCTTTTGTGACTGGCTTCTTTTACTTGGTACTATGTTGTCGAGGTCCATCCATGCTGCAGAACATGTCAGTACTTCATTCCTTTCTATAACTGAGTAATATTCTACTGTCTGAATGTACCATATTTTGTTATTCATTTGTCAGTTGGTGGACATCTGACTATTCTACCTTTTGGCTATTTTGTAGAATACTACTATAAACACTGGCCCACAAGTTTTTGCATGGACATACGTTTTCATTTCTCTGCGCGTACAGCTTGGAATGGAACTGCTGAGTCATACAGGAACTCCATGTTTAGCTTTTTGAAGAACTGCCAGACTGTTTTCCAAAGTGGCAGCACCATTTTAGCGTCACCAGTACTGCAGGAGGCTTCCAATTTCCCTGTATGCTTACCAACACTTGCTATCCGACCCTTCTTTTTCCTAGCCATTCTAGTGGGTGTGAAATGGTATCGCACTGTGGTTCTGATGAGTAAAAATTAATAAAATAGAGAATACGAAGACAATAGAAAAAAAATCATTGAAACCAAAAGGTGGTTCCTTGAAAAGATCAACAAATTGACAAATCTTTAGCTAGACTGATCAAGAAAAAGAAAGATTCAAAATACGAGAATCAGAAATGAATGAGGAGAAATTGCTACTGACCTACGGAAACAAAAAGGATTATGAAAAGAACGCTGTAAACAGCTGTACGCCAACAAATTAGATGGCTTAGATAAAATGAACAAATTCTCAAAAAAAAAAAAAAAGGGAAAAAAACCCCACACAAACTACTGAAACTGATGTAAGAAGAAAAAGACAGTATGAATAGACCTTTAGCAAGTGAAGAGACTAAATTAGTAACAAAACAACTCCCTGCAAAGAAAAGCCCGGCCACACGGCGTCATTGCTGAACTCTACCAGACATTATCAACAATTCCAAAACACAGAGCATCACACAGTTTGCAAGTGGCAGGGCCAGGATTTAAACCAGGCAATCTGGCTCCAAGTCTATATACTCTTGACCGCTATGTTAAACTGTCTCTCTGAATAACTGAAAAAATCTGAGCAGTTATAGGGTATCAAGTTGTTACACTGCGTCATTAGACTTTTGTAGTTAACCTTGGTAATGTGACTTATCTGATCTACAGGGGAAAAGGTTGCTCTGGAGACCTGAGGTAAAATCCTTTACACAATTAACAATGTTGCTGTATCTCATTCATGGAGCAAAAGCATGGCACCTGCTAAAGCCCTTTATTTGTTTTTACTTCAATAACTTCTCACAACAACCCCGAGATAAACAGGTTCTATTACTATTCCCATTTTTGAATTGAGGAAACTGAGGCACAAGGCAGTCACCCAGACAGCAAATGGCAGGGCCGGGATGTAAACCGCAATCTGGCTGATCCCTAGAGACCCCCCTTTCCACTTGGAGAACCTGTCCCTGCCTACTCATCCCATGCCTGACCCCTCACAGAGAGCTCCAGTGAGCAGATGCCCGCCCTACTGTTCACCCGTGCCTGCTTCTGGCCAACGGCGGGGAGGGGGTCTGCTCCTCCACTGTCTGCTGACTGAATAAAGCACCACCCCACACTGACTGTGAATGACTACTGATCTGCACTTTCCTCTCACTCAGTTACTGTTCAGCACTGAAATGATGAACTGCAGGCGCTCACTCATTGAGCTGATCTAATGTTACGTATAGTTATATGCAGCTTCAAGTCGTTAAGCCTGAACTTTCAAAATAACAGCATGGAAATCTAGGTAATATTTTAAAGAGGACGATTGCTTTTGCCTTCCAAAGTAAATGCCTCCTGTTATTTTGGAAGTCTCCTAAAAATGTACTTTTTGCCATGGGAAACAATAGTTGCACTAAATTAATATATGAAATTCCATTTCCTGACAGAAATAAGGCTTCTGATAAAAAATTTTAGCCAACAAATTTTCTGAATGCATACACAAAATTTGTATTACCCTATAAAATTACTATAGGTTACTACCACAGGTTGCTACACTAACCTCTTTCCCTAAAGAATTAATGATGATCTCTTGGGCAGTGGTCCATATACTAGTCTCCAAGTCGCCCTCAACTGAAAACCACATTAAATGCAAACTTAACCCTAAACAGATGAAAAACCAACAATGATTTTCAAGGTAATCATTCCTATCACAAACTAAAGCAACAAATAAAACACAAGCATTTTACTTTCAGAGTTCTGTGGCTCTTTCAAAAATATAATATTAAAAAAACCAAAATCTATCTGCTTTATCTTCAGCTAAATATTAACCATTATTTGCTGGATGATTATACTGTTGCCTTAAAGTTAACGTTTGAACTAAAATCTGAAAAACCTGCTCACCATTTTTATTGGTTTAAACTGGCATGTGTGTACTTAGTTTTTATTTTTTAAACTCCTTATTTAAATGTCTGTTCTTTGGTAAGTCTGTATCTTCATCCTAGAAATATGAGCACTGGTTCAAAAAATGCAAAATCTGAATCCTTCTAATGGCACAGTGTGATATGTGGTTTATTGGAGGAGCTTTGGAAGAAGTGAACAGAATTGGGTCGCTGTACCCTTGGCCAATTACTTCTGTCTTTGAGCCTTGGTTTCTTCACCTATTAAATGGGAACAGTGGTCATATCAACCTCAAAAGGTTGCCGAGGACTGAAGTCCTTGTAGAGGGCCTGGCACAGCATGAAAAGATCTGGCCCTACGTCCCTCCTTTACGCCTCAAGTTGCCTGAGCACACCAAGCTACTTCATGTCTCCATCCTGCCTTTACACAGGTTTCTGAGCTAGGATGCCCCCTCCCAGCATCTGCCACGGGTTCCTACCTGCATCCTCGGGTCTGTCTAACAAATACTTACTTGGATCATCCTCCTCGTATGGAGAGACACATCTCACTGCTTTGTAACTACTCCTTAAGCAGGCTTCGAGAGCACTAAAGGAAGGAGGCTCATTCACTTCTGTATTTCTTAGCATCTAGCAAAATCCCCAGTACATGGCAGATGGTCAATAATGACTACAGAATACACAGAATCCAGCTTTCCACTATACGCAGTATTAACAGAGTATCAAATGTGCAAGAAACTAACAGCCTTGGACTTAAAACTATACTCACAAGTTTGATAAGCGTCAGATTCTTTTACTTTTTGTTCAAGGTGAAATTTTTTCAAGTCACCTTACTGTATGCAGCTAGGCCAGCCTATTCATGCAAAGATACTTTAGGAGTAAATGTTCCTGTGACTGTAATTTTTTCTTCTACGGCAGCATCTTGCTTTGGACTTGGATCACATGCTGACTTCTTCGGGACTGTTTGGAAACAACAGAGCACATGGAGTTACTTTTCCTTTTAAAAGCAAGGGTGCCAGCTATGGTGCTAGCCCCTGTCACTCACCTCAGCCACCTGCTGGGTCCCCACTCTGTGCTGAACCAGCCCCTCCATATTTGTAGCCATGGTGAAGCAAGATCATTAGAGAACCTGTTCGGAAAGATGCAGCAACTTCCATCAGGTAGGGAGAAACCAGGCTACGTGAAAAACATCAGTAATCAAAAGTCATCTTTGGCACTGTCCTGTGCAGATTTTGCCCTCTACAGGAGACAGAGCTAGCAGGCTGAGCATATCTGGATATGCAGTACCAGCTCCTTCAATTACAGGCACCAAAATTAATCAGCAGAAACACCTCAATTTGGAAACAAGACTTCCCCTGGTAAATACAGATGAAGATGAATCTGAAACTTTAATTACTGGGTCTCTTGGGTTGTAACAGCTTGGCTCACCTCTCAGGCAGGCGGGATCACACCTCTCTGGATAGCTCCCGTCATGTATACTGAACAAGGCGGCGGCTATCTGACAAAGTGTGAGATCGACTTCGGATACAGAGCAGGAGACTGCTATCATCAACTACGCTTCTGTTACTAGTGACCCGAGCGAGGAGCAAAACCCTGCCCAGGTGCTAATACAGCTCACTCTTAGGTTGAAAGGCAAACACTAGCACTAACAAAGAAAGGAAAGAAGGAGACTGCATTACTAACGTGGGCTAAGAACATGGTACCCATAAATTTATCAATCTATATTTTAAAGTCCTCATTAAATTAGGAAACCAGCTAATTCAGCTTTCTATTAACAGAAAAGGTATGCCCTCATTTGTCTCAAAATTGAGAAAGATCATCTCAAGACCAAAAAGTATGCTCGTCTCCTGGGTCAGGATCACTTGAGTGCAAGCACTATTGATGAAACAGACTCCCTGCTCTCTTCAGGTCATAAAATATAGCTCCCCTGACTTGTCCCTAAACTCTGTGCAGTAACTCTACCACAAAGAATTCAGGATAAAGGGATCCCATTTTGGACCTAATTCCTGGACAAATCAAAGAGTTCATCACTGACTGCACAGGTTGTATGGTTAACAGGAACTTAAAACTCTTGTAGTTTATTTCCAGCATTTACATATACAATCTATACAGTTCTACCCAGTGTGTAATACACAAATGCACACAGTTCATCTGCTTGGCCCCTCCCTCAATCACAAACTGGACTGTTCTGCAATGCAACTTTATAAAACAGTTTCCTGTAGTTCTCACCTAAAGTATTATATTCATCAGCACTAAAGTCTATAAAACTTCCTCACACTCTGGCAACTTTCTGTATTATTCCACCCACTATTAAATAGCCACTTCTATTATCATAATTCCCCTTCAGATTCGTTTATTGCCAAAATGGTAATCAGAGAGAAAGGAGAGCATGAAACTGTGATTGACAAATATAAAAGAACTGGCTCTGCCAGTTCAAGGAGTCAAAACCCTGTAAGGGCAGGTGCCACACCAACTGCTACAAAGATCCCAGGTCACCAGTGTCAGTAGTGAATCATCTCATAGAACAGGGTCAGGTCCAAGACAGGGGGAAGTGTTTCTGGTTATGTATTCTTTTAACAAGTAGTCAACAGTTTTAACTTTTGTTTACTTTTCTTTGTTTCTAGAAGAAAAAGCATAGAGAAACACTCTGGTCTTTTCCCCTACTTACAGTTTGGTTCTAACTAATAAGGGATGGAGGGAAAAAACATCATTTCACATGTACCAGAAAAGTTAACAGACTGTTGTTAAAAACACAATTACTGCACAGGAAAAGCCTAGAGTTCTAATCTTTTTTATTAAAACATTAAATAAGAGCTAAGGAGAGGGGGAGGCTATAGTTCAAGAGGTAGAGTGCATGCTCAGCATATGCAAGGTCCTGGGTTCAATCCCCAGTACCTCCTCTAGAAACGAATTTACAAATTCCCCCCCAAAACACAGACAAAGAGCTAAGGAATCAAGTGGATAAAAATAGCAAATAGACAATATATTAAGAAATAAAATCCAGGGGGGAGGGCATAGCTCAGTGGTAGAGCGCATGCTTAGCATATACAAGGTCCTGGTTTCAATTCCCAGTACCTCCACTAAGAAAGGAAGGAAGAAAACCCAAACATGCAACTGCAAGTATGAATTCTATTGCTTTTAGGTATTATTAGCATTTCTGTTGCTGTTAGCTGCAGTTTGATGTAAAAATAATGAATTTGAATATTACAGAAATATGGTTCAGGAAGTGTTATTGAGTAGCACAGAAATAACAAAGTATTAGAAAGGCGTATCTTTCTACTGAATTTCCCTAAAAGAGGTGCCTGATCTTTCAAGTTCTGAGTTGAAGTGGATTTTATAGGCCTGATAGAGACTTAGAAACTCAGAAAACTTTCTAAAATGACTAACTTTAATACTGAATTTGCAGGACCAGTCAACCTCAGACAGGGCATGGTTGTCCCAATGACTGCTAGTGACCGATGATTACAGACACTGGGTCACAGAGAAGCAGCAGGGCACTGCTGAGCTTAAAAAAGCTAAACGTTCTAGATATTAATTATCTGTTGACTACATAAATTATAAATATTTTCTTCTCTCTGTGGCTCAACTGTTTACTTTCTTTACGGTGTCTTTTGACAAATAGAAGTTCTTAAAGTTTCATGAGGCTCAATATATTAATATTTTTCTTTTACAGTTTGTACTTTTAGGCTTTATTTATGAAAACTGTCCTACCCCCGCAGAGTCACAGCATAATTTTATGTATTTTCTTATAAATGTTTAAGAGTTTAGTCTCTCACATTTAAGTCCTCAATCCATCTGCAAATCAATTCTTGAGTCTGATGAGGAATTAGGATCCAATTAATTTTCTTTCAATATAGATGATCAGTTTTCCAACAGCCTTTACTGAACAATCCATCCTTCCCTCACTGATCTGCAATGCCACCTCTGCCATATCTCAGGTTCCCCGTATGTGTGGATATAATTCGAGGTTCTCTGTCCTAGCTCACCACTGCTCTCCTCCTCTATGCCACTACTGTTACCTTCGCTCTATAATGAGTCCCCCCCACCTTGCTCTCATTTCCACATCAACTTCCTGGACTTTCTCAATCGCTCAATACTCAAGAGCAGTAACCTTTCTTTATACACTTGAATTCTTACAATTCTTGATCTCACTGTTGGTTTTCTGCCTCCAAAGGAGCTTCAGGTAACATCAACAGCAGCTTTGGAAGCTGCTTAAAAATGAACGAGGAAAGTGCACCTTCTGGAAAAACAAGCAGAGACAATGAGAATGAGAGAGAGAGAGAAACTGAAAGAGAAACTATGAAAAGATTTCAATAAAGATTTAAATCCAGTGAGAGCAGATAAGTGAGAAAGTAATTCACAAAAATTATTCCATTTCATGCCCACTATCACCACTTCTATTCAATATAGTCCTGGAAGTCCTAGCCACAGCAATCAGGCAAGAGAAAGAAATAAAAGGGATCCAAATTGGAAAAGAAGAGGTAAAAGTGTCATTATATGCTGACGACATGTTACTATATATAGAAAACCC